TTACTCCTCCCCCTCTCCAAACTTGTCTTCTATTGTATGAACTTTGCGTTGTTACCACATTCCAATCACTCTTGCACTCACTGAAATCTTTCTGTCATTCCAGGCTGGTCACATCATCTGGGAAATGGGAGCAACAGCTGCTGTGGTGTAGGAGCTGCAGGCCATGCCCTCCGCTCCCTCTTGCTGCAGCCACCCGCAGAGCAGCAGTACCACAGCAGCCCCCAGCAGCCAGAACAGCTTCCCATAGCCTGCTCCACAGGGAAAAACACAGGCAGAGCTGTGTTTTTCAAAGGGAAGCTTTAGTATGGATAAGGCAGATGGTTTTGACTGCAAGCCCGCTACTTCACTGCTCCTTGAAGACTAGATGTGGCCTGTGGTTTGCCACTAGACTTTCTACAAAGCTGGCCCTATCCAAATAAAATGTTTCTCGCACCGCAAACTTCCAGTGAAATTCACTCGTGGCATTTTCTAACTACCATTGCCATCTTTTGGAGTTTGCCTTTTTGTAGTGGACTCTCTAGAAAGTCAGGAAGGAGAAGGCGAGGTGAGGACAGAGAGAACAGGCAAAGTCTCCTCTGCCTCCCGTTACAGGCTGACCCCAATGATATTACAGCAGCCTGCTCTTTCTTTGCTCTGGTGTGACAAGTTTACAGTAGAGATCCTTGGTTCAGTCCAGCTGATGACTGTATTAGTTATACTTAATGTGGACAATGCTGATTACATCATGATAGCTGTTTTTCATTCACATGCAGGCCGGGGTAGTAAAATTGATATGGAACCAACCCAGAATGATGGGGAAATTCCTACAAAAGTCAAGTTGGGTGCCAGTTACAAATGATTTCCAGAGGAGCTGGAAAGTGCAGAGCGTAAGGATAATTTTTTGTCTTTTTTGGTATTTATTCAAGTGCAAAACATGTGGACTCTTGCCTAAATTCTTCTCCCTGTCCAGATTTTAACCAAGCAATTAACATTTCTCAGATAGTTCTAATAGTTGGATCTATGTTGATTGTGGGTTTTTTGTTTTAGACAATATTCAATTTAGACTGGACTACATTTTTTCATGTTACTGATGGCTAAAAATATTTTCCCTGTTACCCAGTAGAAACACAGTGAAGCCTCAGTTCTAGTTTCAAAATTATATATATATGTACATACGTATGTATATATTAGTTGGTGAGGAATGAATTTGTTGAACAGTGAGGGTCAGGGCTACACCAGCGGCTGAAATGTGTTATTTGTCAGCAGATCATTACAGTCAGCACCGCACAGCATGTGAACTTCCTCACACCACTCTGCCAAAGCTCCCCACATGGCTGACCTGCCTGCTGACTTGAGCTTCAAGGAGCCTCCAGTCTCCATCTGGGGATTCAATCTCACCGCAGTGCTTGTGCCTATGTGATAGCCCAACTTTTCCTCTCCCTTGGCCCCAGCACAGGAAAATAAAACCCTAAAGGCCTGACTTGGAAACTAAGTTTCTCCACAGACAGCTCTGCTCTCTCCCACTGATTTGAGTGGGAGAAGCCTGGGGTGTGACTGCCACCTCCTCCTTTTATTTTGCCAATAATATGAATTGTTCAGCACACAACTATACAGACCTTCTGCAAGTTTTAATACCTGTAATTTGAATAATTTGTGTGTCCAGGCAATGACTGTCATTTATAAATGTTCCGATAGAGGGGATCTATAGGAGGCAAAAAAGTGAATTGCTTTGCTTTGAACATCTGGGGTATTTTAATACCAAGGGGTTCAGAAATTAACCTACCTTAAAATACTGTGTGTTTTTCCTCCTTGTGTCCTCTTTTTTTTCTATCCCATCTTTAACAACTTTTCAGGCAATGAGGACACTTGAAATTTTTAAAATCAGAGGTGTCCAGAAAATGGAAAGTCCTTGTCCATTTTCTCCTTATTAGAACAGGTTTCCTAAAATATCACCCAATGAGTATACAGAGATATTTTAAAAGGCCCTAAAACCTTACTTATATTAAGAATTTTATGTTGGAGTTTGAGCTTTCACAGGCTATTAGAGTTGTCATTTGATTAGCACTAAATGACATATCCAGGTTATACAGAAAGAGCTGTGCCTCTCCCCAAGAGATGAAGACCATCCTGGCTCTGCTACCATACCTAACTGTAGAGGGTAGAGTGCAACTGAGCAAATGGAGGTATCAGGAAACTTTAAAATTCAATACACAGACACATTGTGGTGGCTATTTATACAGTGGAGACAGCGCTCAAACTGGATTTAGCTCTGAACATTTTATGAGACAAGTACTTTCCAGTCTGAGATGGTCAGACTACTTCAAAGAGATCTGCAAAAGGCAGCTAAGGAGAATAAGCACATCAATATTTCACATCAGTCTACATGTGCGAAATGTGAAGTAAAAGGGTCTGCAACCTTCCTTGGAAGAATTTTAGGGACTCGCAAACTGAAAAGATTAAGAACACTGATTTGAGAGTATAAAACAACAGAATATTTTCTATTCTTTGGGAAAATGTAGTAGTCAAGGAAAGGCAAGCAGAGCTACTCAGAGAAGCCAAAGCAAGACTGTGTGTTTAGTTAATGTGAGGTAGATGAATAAGAGATATTGAGACGATCAAAATGCCAGTTTTGTCAATCAGGAATTGCTTGAGACAGCCAGTGTTAAAAAGGCAGGAATCACATTCTCACTGCTTCTTCCTTCACCTCAAAAGTTTCATTTATCTGCTGACTTGCCTAAACCTTACACTTAACAGCATCAGAATAACACATGCAAAGAACCTAGCTGTCCAAATGCTCAGACTGTATCACACCACCCTTTTATGACTGTTCAGGAAATAGAAAGGAAAAATATATTGGAGACATCCTTCAACACTACAGAATGGTGCTTGGCAACAAGAACTCAGACACTGACTTGATCTGAGAGCCTTTCAGCTTATAACATTAATAATAATAATAATTTGCTAAATAATAATAATTTGCTAATAATATTAGCAAATAATAATCATAAATAAAAATAATTTAAAAAAAAATGTTAGTAAGCAGTGGTCATCTGAATAATCCCGAAGAAACTGAAAATCCACACTGAAGCACTGACAAATACAGCCACTGCTGGGAAGGACAGCAGTGAGGGATCTCCTTATAGCATGTGACACACAAGGAAAAGGGAGAAGAAGAAGAAATTGTAGCATTTGGAAGAAAAACTCTGCTCTTATGCATTCTTGAGTGATGCTGCAGTGACTCATTTTAGAGGGACTCATCTGAATTCAAGGTTTTCCCAACAGAAGGATTGATTATACAATGATGGAGCCTTTTCAGTCCTAGCATCCCTTAGAGATATTTAGTACATGCATTGAAAATCAATGTCTTGTGTCTTGCTCTGGACTACTGAAGATTATATTTGTTTCAGCAATGTTCTTCTCCCTGATGTTTTAAAAATAATATTAATTTGCAGCTGATTAAAAAAAATCATCTTCAGTGAGATCCCCCTGCAGATGAGGTCTGCATTCCTTTTCTATTCCTCCTGGGTCCACGCAGACACATTAGTGAAACAACTGGATCATACATTAAGTGGAGAAGATTCAGAGATTGGTGCTTTTGATGGATATACAGACTAGATAAACATGAGTCCAAGAGCTCAGTACCTTCCACTGAGAATACCCTACTTCCGTGGCCTAGAATTTTAAATGTGCAGCAAAGACTTCTCACAAAACCACCTAACAAGATGTCAAGCACTTCTGCATTAAGAAAGTGAGACTGCCAAGACTCTAGCACAACACAGTTTTCTAAAACAAATTCACCGAAATCAGTACCTGCATATGCTTCCAGCAGCAAACAGCAGACGAATACTAGAAGTAGTAAGCAGCCTGCTTTATTGTGTATTACTGAAATTTGTAGGCGATGTTGTGTATGAGACTTGGTCAGGGAACTCTGGTTGTTTTCTAGCCAGTCTTTTCAACAAACACGACAAGCTTTGTTTGTGGGGGACTTCCCTATCTACTGCAGGCTCCTGAATGAGTATCTTCTGAAGAGGCAGGGAATGGGGATGTAACTCTGCAGTGGTACTGCACACCTGTGAAACTACAGCTTCCTAAAGCCATGTTACTTACCTTTGCTTCTGCTGCTCTAAATACCTTTGTACACTGTATTTAATTTTGAGACACCCTATGTGCTTTTCAGGCTGATACGCTACATTACAAATGTCTAAGAAATATGAAGTTGCAATGCCATCTGCAATCTCTATGGAATAATTTAATGTTAAATATTTCTCAGATAAGGTCTTGTGCTGGTGAACAGGAATCTTGGCTGCTGACTCAGTGTCAGGTATGAATTCAAATGCCATCCTTATGTGCTTTTTAATGCAAAACAGCCACACTGAGTTTTGCGTGCTGCTGTCATTTCAGAATACTTTCTCTTGGTCTGTTTGTATGTTCAACCTAAACACAGTCTCAGATCCCATGCTGTGGGAACTAAGTGGCCATGTCCTTGGTACAAAACCATCACTAAAGATTTTACCAGTTGCAAATCCTGTTGTGATTTCCTAGGAAAGGGAAACTGAAAATGTGGTTTGAGATAACAATTAGGAGGATTTACACTACAAATTTCCCATAGACTCACAAGAAGTGCAAACAATAATCGTAGTGAATCAAACCCTAAAATCATTCTTCTTTAGGTGCTGTGACATGTAGATAAATACATTCGGAAGCTTAGTAAAAGAAACTTGAAAAAAAAGCTTGATTCTCATGCTAATGTCTACCAAATGTACCCATTGTGTGAAAAAAAAAGCAGATTAACTTTCATCAAAAGTGACACAGACAAGTTATTCTTGCATATCATTATCCCTGCTACATGCAACAATTAGTTCAGTGAATTTGGTTTACGAGTCACATAAAGTACATCTGCTGGCAACATGAGATTTACACCTGTGATGAATACCTCATGCTGCTAATTATAGAAAAAATGGTCACAGTGTCCTTGCAATAGAGTCTTGGTTGAAGTATGAAAGGAACAGATTATTCCCTACCTTCTCAGCATCTTGCTCAAAAAGCCGAAGTTGAAAGCACTGGTCCAGTTTCAACTTGCGGACATGCCACATCTGATGCAAGTGTTGTCGGGTAGAATGCAGCTTGTCTAAAAGGCTGGTGATCTTTGGCACAAGACTTTGAAAATCTGCACTTCCAGGAATGCAGTTCCTACCAGAAAAACCATCACTGCATCTTATACATTGTAATAACCTCTGACCCTCACGATCCAGTTCTTCCACAGGAGCTTTAATCACTTTTTTCTTAAGCTGCGTGTGCTCATCAATCAGCCTTCTTGAGCCCTCAACATCAACTGGAAACTCCTTCCTAGCCAACATTTCCTGGAGATCCTCCAGCCTTGATAATAAATGGATGGCACTGTTGAAAAACTCTTCCAAGGAGACGCGCAACTCTATCCATTCATCGTGGTTGTAATCCAAGGATCCTTCAAACTCATCCGTCAGTTGAGAAGGATCTACGAGTTTTGCCAGGCCTTCAACAGATACCATACTTGTCTAAGGAAGGGAAAATGACAGCATTTGAATCAGTGACTGTCTAATCAGAAATAACAGTGCAATCCATAAATAGCATGAAGGGATTATTTTCCTCATCAATATGTAACTGAAGGAACGTTGTAAAAGATGCTGAGGATTATGTTTAATTTTGGTGAATTAAATGGATTGAAAACTTTTCTATTAATGGCACTGATTTATTTGTTTATTAAAAAACATGATATTTACTGAAATATCTTTTTCAGCTGGCCTGACTATCAAAAACATAATGAGAATGCTTCTACCATAGATTAATCCAGTTGGACACTGAAGACTTCTTACTGCAGCTGTCGGATATCTGAACATGACTGTACACTGAACAGGTATATGGTATTACAGGGATTCTGCTACTTGTGTTACAGGCTAGTGGCTATACGGCAGCAAAAGTTTTAAGCATATGAACCGAAGCAGGTATTGTGACCTGCCAAAACACAGAATATGCTGGTTTTTTCTTCCAGATTATTCCAGTTGACTTTTGCCACAGGCAGATCTCTTTCATATTAGTAATTTCTAATGTAAGCAAGCCAAAATCAATGAAAAGTGAAATGTCATTGAAGTATTAACAATTAGAATTTATTGCTAATAGAAAGGACTGCTCATGAATCATACACAATCAACGAGAGATGGTTTTATTTCATTCAGACTCAGTAATCAGTGATAGGAAAATGCACTGGGTGCCTGGAAAGCAGATTACAGTTTAAGGACACAACAACCGATGGCTGTTCCCATTTATTTTAGACAAATTATTTTTTTCTGAAATAATGAGCATAGGGTTTCATATGTTACTAGAGATTTTCAGTGCTGTCATGTTAACACCCAAGTTGGCAGCCGTTAAAGGCTTGTGATGTTCATCAGTGACTGCACATCTATCCCCTAAAGATCAGGCCTCTAAAGAATGTCAGAGTTTGTGCTCTTCAGAAGTGGAGGCACCCAATAATCACAGCAATCTTGTAAAAGTCATCTACAAAGAAAAATACCTCAAGTCCTGTCCATTATCCTGAATTATGTCCAAAATAGCAGGCTGCCCACTGGTTTAAAGTTAATAATAGGCTTTTCTTCCAATTTGTATCATCTAAAAATATCAGGCGTTCTGCAATGCATTAAAATTGGATTGTACTGAACTTATGCTCAGCAGAAAGATTATTTTAAAACTTTCTTGCCATGTTCCTTGCTTTGGGCAAAGGGGAAGACAGAGGGAAGAGTCAACAAACAATGGGAAGGTAAGTATGTAGCTTCAGAGGGATTTCAAATTTCTAAACCTCTTGACCTGGACACTGACCCCTTGAAGATAATTCAATTTAGAGTTTAACTGCCAGTCAAGAAAAGACTTCTCTTCATGGCTAATACCTGGGCATTCCCCCTGCAGTGTGTCAAGCTAATGCAAGCACTGCTTTTATCATGAATAGAATTTGACATGATGATATAGCAGAAAGGCTTTTCATTTCACGAATTCTGCAGAAAATTTCTTTATTCAGATTTGTTTCTTTAAGGAGTTCTTGAAACTTTCATGAAAAAAAACCTTAGTTAAGCAGGTAGGTGGTAAGATAAAGTAACTGTCTCTCTGGCATCACACATCTTTCTTTTAGAAATCACTTTAAAAAGCCCTGCGCACTATTTAAACCCTTTCAGCAGAAGAAAGAAAATAATCTTGAAGGCACCTCTGAATTAATGCTAACTAATCTGCCTGGTCCGTTCCTCAAAGTGACAGGAAGCTTTGGAGTCCACATACGTCAACCAAACCCTTTTTTTTCTCTTTTCTTTGTGTGACAATCTGTGGGCATACTTCACTCTCTGGTCTGTGACACAGAATCATTCTGCCAGAGTCTCACAACACAAAATCCAGATCATTAGCCTCCACTAAGGGTCATACACTGCCCTGGCACATGCATAATGCTTCCATTAAGCTCAAAAGCAGAATCTGGCCTTAAAACTGACACTGGTTATTGCTGAGTTTGTAGATGGGGTAATTCAACAGAGACTTCCATTGCCTTCCACTGCAGTCTGTTCCTGCCAAGGACCTCGTGTTTGATCACAGCTGTGGGAAATCACCATGATGGTTCAGTGCAGAGAAGGTACCTGTGTGCTGCCCCACATAAATCAAATAAATGTGAGTCATATTGACCTGCGATGCTTATTTGATATTCACAGTTCTTCTTACGAGACAGCATGAGCTGCCCCAGAGCCTGAGCCTACCGATAAGCAGCAGTTTCCACAAGAATCCTTTAAAACAGAAGTTTCTGTGCTGTGTTTATGGCAGGGGGTCTACTGTACAGTGGACCACAGCTTAAGCAAAGCTTTTTAAAATCACAGAATTGAAGGACTCATCACTTCTGAGTGTCTGCAGGTGGTCCAATAGACAGCAAAAGCACTGACTTTCCTCCTCCGGTCCAAAAATTTGTGAACCATGACAGACACCCATGTGAACAGCCCAGCAGAGAGACTAAGGCTCAAAGGCACATACACAAAATTAAAATACCCTTAGTGCGTGCCAGCATGTACGGCAAATGAGTCCAGAGCTTTTAACACAATACAGACTCAGAGCTGTAACTATGAAGAATAGCTTGACCACAGTTTACTCTTCACGATCATCACACCAACTCTACACAATTAAAAAATACAAGTCAAGCCTCCAGAAAGTATTAATTCATTTTAAAAACAAACAAATGTTCTAAAAAATATATATTTGAACTCTGGTACTTTATTTCTAGGTTTTGAAGCTTTAGGAAGACATTGCTTTTGTTTACTAAAGCACTGGATGATTGAATTCAATGTTGGATATACATGCATAAGCTGTCTTTTCTTGGGCTACTATGGGACTGCCCCTTAGTGCCCATATATATTTTAAACAGAAGCTCCCCATCCCCAAAAGCTATTCTATTACTAGTCTCTGCACAGGCTCGCTCCTGCTCCATGTTCTTCTGTACCCATACATCTCCTTTCTCCTTCCCACTGCCCTGATGCCTCTCACTCCCCACAGGCAGCATTGCCAATCTCATTGCACTGTAATGGCAGCCACTTCTGCCAGGAACGGTGATGTCAGGAAGTGTGAGGAATCTCTGGAGGTGACACAAATCTACACTGAAGGCAGCCTTGCTTTCAAAGGCGCACAGGGGATAGCAAGTGGAAGTTATTTTGAGGGCTGAGTCCTCATAGGTAGCCAAGGAAGGTAAAGAGCCATTTAAATAAAGCAAAATTTATAAGTTGACTGTTTTTTGTGAGACAGAGGGAAAAAAATGTACAAATACTTAAATTGTGATAATAATGTAAAAGTTTGTTAATGCTTAACACCAATCTGGTCACCCATTGCAATTCAAGAGTGCTTTTAAGAAGAGGTTGAAAATAAAGATGTATTTATATCACACTGACTTCAACAGATCTTGAATATATAATTAAATATGGTCTTCCATTGCAGTCAACATTAAGAACTATAGCCAAATTCTCTTCTGAGTTCCAGAGATGCAATATCTGAGTGTCTGAAATTAATGGATTGGTAAGTAAGACAGCCAACCATAGAATTGTTTCTCAGCAAATTAAAAAAAACCAACACATAAGTAACTCATGGCTAAGCATGATTGCTGTACAAGCGCTTCATGCATGTGAACTTTGCTTCTCTTTGGGTAAGAAGCTGAAATTCACAGAAAACTAAAGTGCACTAAGAGAACACAGCTGGTTTGTCTTCACCAATGACAAAGTTAGTAAAATTCCCTTTCATTATGCAGTTGTTGTATATTGGTTACTTTTCAAAGAACCTGCCTGAGGCACCTTATCATTAACATGTGTTGTTAATGTTACCCCTGAATTGTAAATCTCAATTAAATTAAAGCGGTGACAATGTATAGATAAATTTAGTATAAATGTCTTCTGTAAAAAAAAGCCATTACCTGAAGTTGGGTAGCGGTCAACTAACAAACCCATACATTAACATCTAGAGAACTTTGTCTTTAGTATGTTGACTGATTTGGTGGGGTTTTTTTTCCAAGAGAAACAAAGGAAAGACCGAATGCAACACCACCAAAAATAAATACCACCAAAAAACCCTCACCAAAGTGAACTATGTATGTGAACCTCTGAGATGAAACGTGCATCCTGTTCCATCAGCGTGCTCAGAAGGCAACCTGATGCCGGGGCATCAGCCCACTCCTGCAAACAGTCCTCAGATGTCTTTTTTTCTCTCAATCACAGGGCTTGGGAATTTTTTTTTTCACCTGAAGAAAATTTCTTATCAGAGGCAATGCCTTACAATACACCTCTCATGTGGCTCTCACCTCAAAGATGAACTTGGAACTGCCGAAGTTCGTTTTCTGCTTCTGCCAGAAATTATCAGGTTTTATAATCAGGGCAACGTGAATCTCGGCAGGAAAGGCTTCTTGAAGGGTCTTTAGGAGAGGCTTGATCAAATCCCATTTGGATCCCCGCATATCAATAATAACAGTGAATCCTCGTTTACAAACATCTTCGCTGCAGGAATAAAAGCATATCAAGATAATTAGTATTGTGGACAGTCACACTGAGACTTAACTTTTGTTGCTAGTGTTCAGAGCTTCAGGGCAAAGCAAGAAATTATATACTTCAAAATAAAAGGCAAAAGATAGTACAGCATAAAGGCTATATGAAAGGCTATATTAATTTTACCATAATCTAATTTACATGAAATTCAAGTGTACATATTACAGTTAATCTCTAATTTCCCAAATACATGTAATTCAAATTTTCACTGAAAACATACACACAATTGAAAACAGAATCAAATATATCTGTATAGAAGCTATTTATGTATACATACAACGGATTCTGCTTTCAACATATTGAATTCAATCCACAGCCAAAGCCAACAAGCAGGGTCCTGTGCTTTAACATTGCTAGCCACTTGTAAATTTGGGTGCCTTCATTTTTAGAGGCCACTTTAAGGGCTTTTTTAAAAGTGTAATTTCCAGTAAAGTGCCTGGCAATCATTCCCTGAAAGGAAGGTCCTTGTGACTCAGCATGTGCACTGTTAAAATCGGGGCCCTTTTCCCTCCTGACTGATCTTCCAAATGTCACAGGATCTTTTTCAATCTGCAGTCATACTTTTCTGCCAGCCTGTGCTCCTCCCTTCTCAAAAGTTCAAGACAGTTATCTGGCCTGGTCATTGGCAATGCACAGGGCCCAAAAGCACCAGAGCACTAGCTTGCAAACACATCTTCCCTTTTTCCTCAGGAGAAGAGAGGAGAAAGAATAAAAGGACATGTTGATTCAGGCCAAATCTGTGCAGCTTTCAGCATAGCTTTTCCAGGGATGTAGTACTGCTCCTCAGAAAAAGAGGTATGGCTCAAAAGTGTCATCCTCCATCTGCAGCATCCGACATTTGATGAGATTTAGCAAGTGTCTATTCCTTTGACTGACCGGCTAATGTATCCGCCATGCATGGCACTGCAGTCTTGGGAGCTATGGTGTCTGCTTTAGGCCTCAAGCACTTGCACAAAATGTGAAATTCCTCATCCCCAGTAATATTATTGGTATGGTAAATGAGTAAAATTTGTGATGCACTAAAAATGCCAGAATGGTCTACCTACTGATCTAATTTTTTGTTGTTGTTGTTGTTGTTTTTTTTTTAAGATGGAATGGAGGTCACAGCCTTTTCCACAGAAGCAGAAGCCATTGGCAGAAAGGAAGTGTGGAAAGAAGAAAGGAAGATGAAAACAGAAAGAACAGTTGAGAAAGAAGAGAAACATGGCAGAACATGAACATATTTTGTATATTGAATGCAACAGTGAGGTACAGAACAAGAAATCCTCTTTAATACATGAATATAGCACCTTTGACCTTTCTGCAAACTGGCCATCAACATAAATAGGATCAATATTGTGGACCTAAAGGCATATGTAAGATAATTTAAAATAGCAAGTCTTGATATCACTGGAATGAATCTGAAATATGCTGAGGACAGATATTATTAAGTATGGTTATAATGCAGAAATTGTAAGACTGTTTAGCCTCCACACAAATACTCTCAGCGCACAAACACACAGGATGATTTTCACTATACTCTACTACTCTAAATTCTTAAAGCATTCTTTTTGCTAATGAGATCCAGCTCCTACATATCTCAACAAAAACAACTCTATAAAGCTTACAACTAGGCTTCTGGGCTGGAACAAGGACAGGGTTATTCTTCATACGAGGCATGCTAGATTAACATATATAACTTAAAAATAAAAGTCCTTGGTGACCTTACCAGTATCTAGAAAGATTTGTGCACAGATGGACCACCCCATGGCAAAGCAGATTTTGCCATGTTAAGAGAGTTCACTAATGAACAGTCTCAACTTAGTGCCAGGAAGGAGCAGTCAAAGCCAACAAGCTTTGTCCTTTGCCTTAACATTATTGGCACATCTACAGGACACTACATACGACAGTCAGTGCAAAGAAAAACTAGGGAGACCAGGCACTTCCAAACACTGTCAGGAATATAGTTCTTTTTATTCTCCTTTTACCTACTGCTGAAAGGTCAGACATCTGATCCTTCCACAACTAATGCCAAAAAAGGCTGTAAAAGAAGCTTTGTTGGTGGTGCTACTGCCTCTTGCCCTTTGGAACGAGAGCTGAGACAAAGAATCAAATCAGAAAGGGATGAATAGAAGGGGTTTTGTGTTTTGGGGTTTTTTTCTTGCAAAGCTTTGTAGGGTCTTCAGTAACTTCTGCCAAGTCGCTGATCGCTATTACACTGAACTGACTTTTCCAAGGATTGATTTTTCTTCAAACACTTGACAAAGAGATCCAGGAGCCATACGGGCACATGGAGAGCCGCAACAGCAGACACAGTAACAGATAAGTGCAATCTGTCTTTTCTGATATAAATAAGTACCCACCCTCCCATTGCAACCATAGCAAGGCGTAGCCAATATTAACTTCATTCCAACTCCCCATGGCTGCTGCCAACCTGACAACTTACCAAATCTAATCTAAAACAATAACTTAATTTAATACTTACTGATGAACAACAGAAAAACCTGATTCAGTAAGCAGAACAGAAATGTCCTGAGGGATTGAAGTCTTCCATTTATGAACCTGAACTAAAGTCTTAGACCCAAACAGACCCAAAATCAGACCCTGCCCCTAGCTTTAGAGCATAGGCAGTGTGATATCATCTTGACACCCACGATTACATACCACCATGACTGGAAGTTCAGCCTGCAGTAAGATAGATATTCCAGATAGGGAGCTAACAGATGTAACTATGGGCTGGATTCTGTGTTTACTGAAGGTTTACAGCCTCTCTGGACCCTGGAGGTGCAAAGAAGCAGTGGAGGGAGCAGACAGTACTGCCGCCCATTCCCATCAGCACACCATGCCTAGGCATGCGTGTGTGAAAAAACGCTCCACAATACCCTAAATCCCTACTTTCAGGTTTTTGGGGACTTCACAGTATGTTTTCAGTGGAAGAAGAAAGGGTAACAATTCCCCAGCTTTTTCCAGTGGACACAGGAGAACAGCCACTGACCCTGTGGGCCAGGCTGGGACATTAGTCCACAGGTACGGGTCAAGATGCTTCCTGATTCTTGTCCTGGAAGAGGCAATAAGCAGTCATTCCCTACCAGCACTATCCACGCTCCTTGTAACTAGACCAAATTTTCAACAAGCCTAGTACATTTGCAAGTATGAAACTAATAGGATGCAGGGATGGAAAAGGAGGAAAGGAAGGAGAATAATCATAGATTTCTTAGGTTCAAAACACATCAACAAATAACAACTATTTCACTAATAATACAAAACTCAATACAATGCTCTTAATTACAAAGAAGATCTCCCTACTTGATTAGTCACATAGGCAGGTAAGTTCCTGTATGAAATAAAATAAGTGAAAAGATGGGTACCCCTCTTCAATTATAGTGCAGAAAATGTACAAATGGATGGTATTTATCATTTCGAGCAAATCAAACTCTGTTTCAAGAACCTTGCTCACAGTCTTGCAGAAGTGGCTCTGCTTGCAATTTTTTTCTTTAATGACATGAATGGTACTAACCTGTATCAAGACCTGTGCATCTGTAGTCTCATTACAGAATTTGATCTCCCCAGCACAGTGATAATTCCACACGTCCTTCTCTTTGCAGAAAATTAGCACCTGATTTCTAAACCTGCTTGTCAAAAACTATTATTTAACAGTGTTTAAACTGTTGCAAGCCAGAAAGCTGTCTGCTTATTATTTCTACTTTCAGTTGCTGAGCATGCTGTGGAGAGGGGTGCCTTTGAGAGCACTTATACTACACAAGCAGGCAACCGGATACTAATCAGGTACTAATACCTCAGAGAAAGACGAGGGAGACAAGAAAATTGTTTAGATTGTAAGCTCTTCAGGGCAGGGACCATCTGCCATGCTGTGTTTGTCAAAGAAGCCTGCCTTGGTGGAGGTCTCCGGGTACCTATACTTATACTACAGTGTTCAGTTGTCTAGAATGAATTCCAAAAAATTACTCTTCAGGAAACTATAGATGCAAATCCAAAGAATTAAAAATAATGAGTAATAACGGTCTGCAAAAACACAACTGAACATGTATGTGAAACTACAAAAGGCTTACATAAATGTGGGGACACTTCATAGGCAATTTAGCTAAAAAAACCTAAAAAGGCCAAAATTTAAGTTGCGATATCCAAATATTTGCAGCTATTGATAGGGTCCTAAAAAAGTTGGCCTTGTGTAGACATAATGAAGCACCCATAAACTCTGGTGAGTCAGAGCAATCTGTAAAGATTTGTCATCTTTGACAGTCAGTCATTTTTCTTCAGTTACCTCAACATGTATTGAGGAAATGACCCTAGGTTCCTTTTGAATAGTCTAGCCATGCTTATTAAATTTATTGTTTAAAAGCAACAACTCAAACCCTTCCCAGTTTAGCAATTGATCGGGAAAAGCATCAGTAGCAATCAAGCTTCCTCCACACTATCCGAGCAAGACATGCCTTATCCCTGGTTCCCAAGACACTACATCAATCCACATATCTATTACGCACAAGTAATCATTTTAGGATGGCAATTAATGTTGATTGTGGTGCTTAATTTTTTCCGGTATTGGTATTTGACCAGAAACTGGAGAAAACACTCAGATCAAGGCATTTGGACAATCCATCAGCCTTTTGTCTGTGCTCATCTGGACTAGATTTGCAACGGTGAGCACAAAATATTTGATAGTTGATATGTCATTTCAGTTCCTACACTGCTTTTAAGCAAAGACAAAGACCAGCTTCTAAGTTTAATAAAAACACCCTAGAATATTTGTGAAAACAATACTTACAATCTGGATTTTTGTAAAAAAAAAAAGCATAAAATTGAAACTCAGAAGCAGATGTGATAATTTTGTCAAAATAAATGCCTCTATTTTGGTTTCTAGGGTACTTTCATAAGGTTATTTTCTCAAATTTCCTCTTTAATTCAGGCACACTCTAAATTGTATTTTCTTTGGCAAGAGCTGGCTTGCTGGGTACCAAATGAGTTTAAGGAC